CCCCTCCCTCCCCCCTCCCCATATCCTTAGGTTGTTATTAGGTTATAGCTTTCATATAAAAAGGTTTAAATTAGTTTCATAATAGGTGTGTGTACATTGGATACTTTTTCTTCCATTCCTGTGATACTTTGCTAAGAAGAACATTTTCCGTCCTTCATGTTCACATGGATGGACACTAAAATTTAAGAGCTGCTTACCTTGGTAAATAATCTTTGGAGTCACCTGGAGTGCTTATTCAGTATATCTAAAGCTAAGTATCACTGCCAGTAGACTCTCATTATTAATGGATCTAGAGTAGGGCTCTAATTTGTGTATTTTGAAAATGATTCCTATCTTCATGTACATCTTCATTGAGACTGGCACCAACAAGCCATCTTCTATTTTTTTTTTTTTTTTTTGGAGACAGTCTCACTAAGTCACCCTCAGTAGAGTGCTGTGGCATCACAGCTCACAGCAACCTCCAAATCTTGGGGTTAAGCAATTCTCTTGCCTCAGCCTCCCAAGTAGCTGGGACTATAGGCAACTGCCACAATGCCCAGTTATTTTTTCTTGCAGTTGTCATTGTTGTTTAGCTAGTCCAGGCTGGGTTCGAACCTACCAGCCTTGGTGGATGTGGCTGGCACCGTAATCACTGTGCTGTGGGTGCTGAGCTGCAAGCCATCTTCTTTATTAGGTTTGACCCTTACCTATCACTGTTTTGTTTTGTTTTTTTCTAATTGTTTTTTTTTCATTTAAACCCCCAAAGGGAAAACTTAAATAGGAGTTGGGTTTTAATTTTCCATGGTTGTTTGTACCTGTTACTCTGCTTCCATAACAACCAGTTATGAACTGGTTGTTTAAAGGTTTAGCGGGTTGTTATTGTAAACTTTATTTCTGATTTCATTGATAAGCAGCCCATGCTCACCCTCACTATTTGTATATTATACCCACCAAAGAAGTAACTCAGATCTTTGTAGAAGTGCTTGCTCCATTCCATAGCTCAGGTATACCAAATTCTTTAAGTGAAAAAAACTGAAGTGTTGTATATATGATGATGGCCAGTTGCTTGTAAGAATTATTTATCATCCCACTTAGATGACTTCTCTCATTCTTTGTCCATAAGTCAATTATTGACTAAGTACCTACTATGTCAGACACCATGCTGGTGTTTACAGATAAATGAGACCATATTTACATCCTTAAAGTCACAGGGGTCCTCAAACTTTTTAAACAGGGGGCCAGTTCATTGTCCCTCAGGCCATTGGAGGGCTGGACTGCGGGCCCTGGGACAAGTTGGCTGCTAAGCAGGACAGGCAGCGGTGGCAAAAACACCCAGCGGGTCAGATAAATCTCCTAGGCGGGCTGCATGTGGCCCGCGAGCTGTAGTTTGAGGACGCCTGTTTAAAGAGCTCATGATCTAGTACAGGAGAAACTGCCTTCAGAAGCACTTTAGGATGTAGTTAACTGCCAAATCCTATAATAGAGATAACTTTTAGCTAAGTTTTGAGTGTGTAACTTACATTTAATTTTTTTTTTTTTTTTTTTTGGAGATGAGGTTTCTCTTTGTCACCCAGACTAGAGTGCAGTGGTGTCACAGCAACCTCAAACTTCTGGGCTTAAGTGATCCTCCTGCTTTACCTTCCCAAGTAGATAGGACTAAAGGCACCTGCCACCATGCCCAGCTAAGTTTTCTGTTATTTTTGTAGAGATGGGGTGTCACCCTTGCACAGGCTAGTCTGGAACTTCTGTCCTCAAGCAATTCTCCTGCCTTGGCCTCCAAAAGTACTGGATTTATAGGTGTGAGCCACTGTGCCTGACCTACATTTATTTTTTTAGAAATTTAATCTCTGGCTTGGTGCCTGTGGCTCAAGTGGCTAAGGCGCCAGCCACATACACTTAAGATGGCGGGTTCGAATCCCCAGCCCGGGCCCGCCAAACAACAATGATGGCTGCAACCAAAAAATGGCGGGGTGTTGTGATGGGCGCCTGTAGTCCCAGCTACTTGGGAGGCTGAGGCAAGAGACTTGTTTGAGCCCAGGTGTTGGAGGTTGCTGTGAGCTGTGATGCCATGGCACTCTACCCAGGGGGACAGCTTGAGGCTCCATCTCAAAGAAAAAAAAAAAAAGGAAATTTAATTTCTGGTTTCAGTTTTTTATTAAATGACCCAAATCTACTTGTTTTCTAGCGGTTTAAGTTCTTTTTCTCTGAACATATTTAATATTTTAATACACTAAACAATATTTTAAAAATATTTTTAATTTTAATCATTTTTAATATTTGATACATTAAATTAAATATGTAAATATTTTAAATATTAAAATAAATTATACTCATTTAAAACAAATATAAGAGAATCATTACAAAATGGATGCTTGGCAAATAAACTTACTAAAGATGTCAGTCTTAACAATAAGGAGGAACAGCAGTGAGAGGACAATTTATACAAATTAGGTTGTTGAAGATCCTATGGAACACTGGGAACTTCATGCTCTGATGTTAACAGTATACATTTGCAACAATTTGGGAATATCAAGAAATGGCCTTTAAATTATCAATTCCATTCCTAGATAAAAGCTCTTGAGAAGCTTTTCACATGTATTCAGTGAAAGCTTAAGGATAACAAAATGTTAGAAACCACCTAAAATGAATAAATCATGGTAACTCATATAATACAATGCCATATGTATAGATAGCTATACCTACCAACATAGATAATCGTAAAATCACATTGTAGGAATAAATGAACAGTGTGCTGTCATTTCTATAAAGTTTAAAAGCAGGACAAACGAGCATAGATATTGATACGTTCGGATGCAAAAAATTTAAACAAATCCATGAAGAAGATAAGGAAAAAAAGGCAAGAGTGGTTACCTCCGAGGGAGGAGGAAGAACTTTGATTGGATCTGAAAGTTGGTACAATTTAATAAATTTGGATGAGCATTTACTTTCGATGCTTTTCTCTATACTTGAAATATTTAATAATAAAAATGCTCCTCTACACTTTAAGAAATTGCGTGTTATCTGTAGGAATAGCTCTTTAATGTTGGAAATTTAGGCAATAGATACTTTTGAGGTTTCAACAGAGCTCAGCATGGCTTACCTTCAGGTTGATAACTCTCTTTGTCATTTTCTTTCACTTTAATTTCATCTTGCTATTAAAATAGAAGTTTGAGGCTTGTTCCCCAAGATTAGAAATACCTGGCTACTTGATCTCCTTCCTATCATCAATTTCTTCCAAAATTTAAATGAAATGATTTAAATAGAAAGTAAAAGTTCCAACTTGTAGTACGAGGTTCTTGTCATTGACTTTCTTTAGAAATTTCTATTTCATTCATAAATATCTTATATTCAGGGATATATTGCTATAGTTATTATACTAATGCTGATGCTATTTATGTTGATAGTATAGCTTTTTAAATCACAAAGTCTTTATCTTTACAGAGTCCAGTATTTTTATATAAATTAAATTTTGAGATACTGAGTTCTACTCCATTATGAGGCAGAATTCTAAAAAGTCATTTTTGTAGTGTATCTTTCTAGAATCCTTCCCTTTTTCTCCTAAGCTTGCTTAGTAGTATATAGTTTAATCTTTCTTAATGACTCAGGGTTGTCATCAGTGTAATCATAGATTCGTGTAGAGTAGCAACTCTCGGCAGCTAGAGAGGGCAATGTGATTTACCCATCATCCCACTGGTCTCAAACCAAGACTTGGAAATCTTCAGCCTATTAGTTGTCACATTGTTTATGTGGTATATGCTTGCTTCTTAAGACTTTTTTTTTTTTTTATCATTTTGACATTCAAATCTTTATTTTAGGAATTGTTCATTAAATTCTCTAAATCAGGGGTCCTCAAACTTTTTAAACAGAGGGCCAGTTCACTGTCCCTCAGACCATTGGAGGGCCGGACTGTGGGCCCTGGGACGAGTTGGCTGCTAAGCAGGACAGGCAGTGGTGGCAAAAACATCCGGGAGGCTGGATAAATGTCTTAGGCAGGCTGCATGTGGCCCATGGGCTGTAGTTTGAGGACACCTGCTCTAAATGATATTCACTAGCAAATAAAAATAGTCTTACTACACCAAGCATAGCCTAGAACAACAAATTTTGGCCTAAGATTTGGATTTTTAAAATTTTTTTTATCATAATTTTTTTTTTTATTGAATGGTAACTATGTACATTAATGCACTTCTAGGGTACAGTGTGGGGTTTTCACATGCAATCCGAAATACTTCCATCAAACTGGTCAACACAGCCTTCATGTCATTTTCTCAGTTATTGTTTTAAAACATTCACATTCTACTCTCAGAAAGATTCACTTGTACCCCTGTAAGATAAACCTCAGAAGTGATCCCTCCAATCCCCCTCCCTCCACCCATCCCCCCCTCCCTTATTTTTAAAATTTTTAAAATAATAATTTAAAATAATTTTATACACTATGAACAATGGTGTTTCATATTAAGCTGCCTAGAGTTCTGTGATTTTTAATGAAAAAACTAAAGGATTATCACTTAGCAAAATTTCTAGACATACTAGCTCTAAGTTATAAAACTGATATTATTTTCTTAAAAAACTTTACTTTTAGGAAAAGAGAGAAATGCATCATACATCCTTTAAAATTTAGAAAACTTCTGGTACTTATGTCCACTGTCTACCTTTTTTTATTCTTTAGTCAGCTGGGTACAGAGCTGAATTCTTACGTAGTTAAATGCGTATGATGTAATTCTACTATACAAAATCACAACAAAGTAAAAAATACAAAAATTAAAATATACACTTTCTCTACATTCCTCAGGGATTGGTACTCAATATCACCTAAATTTGTAAAAATAATTTTGAGAACTTGATATGTAATCTAAGAAAAAATTAGTTCACTATAAGGAAATGAAATAAAAAAGTGCCAGCTACAGAAATCATAATTTATAAGTTCAGATCAAAGAAGTTTCTGAAAAATACTCTGAACCTTAAATTCAATAGCAATTTCATTGTTGAATGATCACCTGATTATACCTCACATCTTTTACTTAAACTTTTCTGCTAAATGGCATATATGAATGTCATCCACTGAAGTATCCAAGTTAAACAGTCAAACAGACTTTTTTCGGTAGACATAGATGCATCTAGTAGTCTTTGGGCTAAACCAGCTGCTTAAAACCAACATATAAAATGAAGGAAAACAAACTGTGTAAAAACACTATTTGTAAGTTTTATGCTGAACTTGAGTGACACCTACTTTTGCTGTTTTTAAAAATTTCACTTTTCGGGCGGCGCCTGTGGCTCAAAAGGGTAGGGCGCTGGCCCCATATGCTGGAGGTGGTGGGTTCAAACCCAGCCCCACCCCCCACCCCCCAAATTCACTTTTTATTATTTTTTTCCAGATATTTGAGTGCTTGCAAATAAGTGAGATGTTATTATTAACTAAAACACGCCCTTTGAAAGAGACAGCACTGGTCTGATTTATTTCAAGACAAACATATCTATTCAGAAAGGTTGTAATAACACAGGACACCACTAGGTAGAAAGAGCTATTTTCCTCAGAACCTCTTTTTAGAAAACACATTTGTTTAAAATTTGTGTATAATAAAATTTAAATCAAAAATAATGTCGAGATTTTTTTTGGCAAAGGTTTCTATGCATTTTTTAAAATTTTCATTATGAATGATTCTTAAGGCAGAAAAAAGTAACAAAAATAGTGTTATCAGCTTAAGAAACATTAATTCAAGAGCAGCTTTCTATATATTCTTCCTTGATTATATCCAATTTAGTATACCTTTAAATTGATAACTTTTTCTGTTTTTTTCTTCTTATGACTTCAACTATTAAAAATAAAATTTTAAGTAAATTATGTAAACAGTTACCTATGTAAGGAAGACAATTCCATTAGCTAGCTGTTTCATTGTATCATAGTGAAATAATACACCCCCAAAACCATAATCACTATTTTATGTGTATTATCTGTATTAGAAATTATTAAATTGTGATTGGTAATAGCATTATTTCTTTGTTTTAAAATTTAGTTTCTGAGCCTTTGCATATGTCAACCTGGATTATAATGAAGAACATTGTTGCTAAAAATGGATTTTCTGGATTATTTACAGGTAAAAATATTTGCTTAACTAAATTATTTAACTGAAAGAGTACTTTTAAACCTGTGAACTTCTAAAATTAACTTTTAGGAGGAAGCTACAGATAATATTCCACAGTTGTTATTTTCTACTAAATATATTTTTGCTGTAAGTTAAAAGAAATGTTATTAACAGATTTACATCAATACAATAAAATTTTCTATATAATGCAATATGGAATTGAAGTGAGTTGGTTGGTTGTGAGCAGTTTGACCTGTCCTTTGCTATTGATTTATAGTGCATAATTTGGTGTCTGACTTCATTTAATTTGATTATTATCAGAGTGAAATAAATTATATTTTTTAAAGATAAAATTTGTTCTGATTTTTTTCTATTCTTTTTTCAGGCCTGATTCCTCGCTTAATTAAAATTGCTCCTGCTTGTGCCATTATGATCAGTACATATGAATTTGGAAAGGCTTTTTTCCGGAAACAAAATTCTCAGAGGCAGCAGTATTAATGATGCTGTTTCAACTTGAAGTAACAACTACAGCCAAATAAGGTGGAGATGGCAAGAAATTTTTCACTGTATTTTTAAAAATGATTTTATGTCTTTCCTATAATTTAAATAATTTCTACTCTATCTCTAAATCATAATCCTAATTTTAAAATAAATTTTTTCATAATGAAAGATATTCCAGAAATCGCAACCATTGAGCATTCTTATAAGGAAAAATATAAAATTACTTAATAGCACTGAAAGCAGTCTCTGAGAGTTTAATATTATAAGTTTCAAAATAAGTTAATCTTATTAGGAATGTGTCAGATACATCAGAACTTTTTGAATTGTGTGCTGAATGAGGTATAGAGTGTAGAAGAAAAAAGCCCAAGTGTTATAAGCATTTAAATCATGTGCATAAGTATTACAGTAGATAATAGAAAGTAGCCATTATACAGCAGTACTCACATTTACAAAAGATTCTCTGTTGTTTTCTTTAATTCAGATGCACTAGATTTTTTCCTTCATGTAGTTTACCTCACATGTATTAAGATTTCTCTGATAGGCTCAGCACCTGTAGGTCATTGAGTAGGGTGCCAGCCACATACACTGAGGCTATGGGTTCAAGCCCAGCCTGAGCCTGCTAAACGACGACAACTGCAACCAAAAATAGCCAGGTGTTGTGGCAGGCACCTGTAGTCCCAGCTACTTGGAAGGATCGCTTAAGCCCAAGAGTTGGAGGTTGCTGTGAGCTGTGATGCCATGGTACTCTACCCAGGGCAACATAGTGATACTCGGTCAAAAAAAAAGATTTCTCTGATAAAAGGCATGGCTATTTTATCTTTATGAACCAAAAGATAATCAATTGATTGTATGACATGGTTCCTTTCATTTTTTTTTATGAACAAAGACCTAATATTTCTACGTTTTCCTCCAAGAGATACAGATTTTTACTTACAGTAGCAAATGTTCACTTCATTCAAGCTTGGGTGTGCAGTGGAAAACAATACTGTATTTAGATTAGTAGAAAGAAAGTTCGGCCATAGGAGTGGCCTGTTGTTTTTAGCCATTTTATAATCCAAGTATGGTTTGTGGAGTTCTCCAGATCGTTTCTGTTGCTTTGTTTTAACAAGGCAGAGATCATTATTGTAACAGTCACAAAATATTTCCAGAATGCCCCTTGACTTTATGCTCTCTCATGTTAGGAAGCTAGACCAAGAGCCTAAATAAGCAAGTTGTTCCCCTGAAAAAACTGCTTTTGGTCACTATAAGTGACTAAATAATTTAGCTTATGCCTATATGTGGGAGTAAGATAAAAAAGGAGGGCGGTGCCTGTGGCTCAAAGGAGTAGGGTGCTGGCCCCATATGCCAGAGGTGTTGGGTTCAAACCCAGCCCTGGCCAAAAAAAAAAAAAAAAAAAAAAAAAAAAAAAAAAAGATAAAAAAGGATATGATGGCAGGACAAAAAGTAATTTTTTTTTTAAACTTTTGTTAGATTTTCTCAGGTTCTACATCCTCTAAGAAAAAGCACTTTATTGCAGTCTATGTGTATTTTATGAAAATATGAAGCATTTTTTTCTCCCCTAAATTGGAGTAATATATTCAGTTGACAAATCTCTAGTGTCAGTAGGGAAATTAATTTATTTTTTATTATAGTAGAAAAGTGTTTGTTTCACAAGAAATAAAACTATGTAGGATTTGTATGTACCTTCTGTGTTTATTTTATCCTATGTTGATTTACCTTAAATCTGCAACATACATATTCATCTAAGTATAAATATTCATGGCTGGTATTTTCATTAAATATTTTATGCCTCCATAAAATTATCACAGTGCTTCTCAACATTTTTTACATAAAGTCATTATATAATGTACTATGTATATACTATATTAAAGTTTATCTTTCACACTTAATGGTATTAAATTTAAAATTTGCTTTGGTTTTGCTCTGCTTCTTATTGATAATTGAGTTGTAGAAAAAGGCAGGAAACATAGTAGTATGCTCTGAGAAAGTAGTCATCCATTGCAGCTTAATACAACCTATAAATATCAGAAGAGTCATCTCCCCCAGGCCCTAATACTGCACTTGAGGAAGATTCTTATTTATGACTTTACAAAAAGTTAAATAAATCTAATAGCCTCATAGTTTTTCTCACACACATTACATGTGATGTATCTGGATGAAAAGCCTGAATTGAAGCTTTCTCTATACTTAAGTGATAAAGAAGCATTAATACTTTTAAAATATATTAGCAGCCAATTTACTAGAAATTAATTTAGTGTTTTACCATCACTACATTTTTATATTCAAAGAGTACTTGGATAAACTTAATCCACAGGATAACTAAAATATGAAAAATCTAATTTTCTTCCAGAGTTCTATCTTTTGAAATAATGGAACTATATTGGCCATGAGGAATATACCCAGATTCCTCAGAAGATACTTCAGACCAGTAGACATATTGGGTTTCCTAGTGTTTTCAAAACATATGTTGCAAGAATTGGAGTACATGCAGAGTCTTTTTATAAAAGTGTTTTTGGTAATGTAGGCTTTCCAAAAGTTTTCATTCTATTAAGTAATGTTAAGTTTTCTAACTTACAGATTTAATCAAATGTAAAAATGTTAAGAAATATTTTGAATATTTAGGCATTAGATTTGTGATCTATTTTTGTCTTGAGCACAAATTTGAGGGATGTAGGAAAGTTTAGTGTGTCACTTTTGAATTTTTTTAAGATGAAGTTTTAAATAAAAGATTACTTTTTTAATCAACATTTATTCAGACATTTTAATATAATAGACAGTATAATAAGCAGTGGAGATAAGACAACATTGCATATATTGTCATGGGCTACAGGAAATTTCAGAGTAGTGATTGACAGAAGTATGCAAAGGGAGTTATGGGAGATCTGAGGAGCTCTTCACTCAGCCTGGGGGCAGAGAAGGGAAGTGGTCAGGAAATCTAAGGTTTGGACTTTCCAATTAAACATGTAGAGAGTCTCAATAAGGCACGGGGATGGAGACCATGTAGCTTGAGCAGTGTCCACATAGGAGTGTGGTAGAAGATCCAATTAGAAATGCAGTTAGTTAGAGGTCTTATATAGTAAGGAAGAATAAGACGACAATGGAAGACAGTCTAAAAGGTTTAGTGCGTATTATAGTATACTTTTAAAATGTGCCATAATGACAAGAATGTAATTTTATCTTCCCCTTCCTGTCAGTTGATGGAAATGTTAAATAGAAGCTCCTTTGCTTACATAAGAGCAAAGTGAAATAATTAAAAAATTTAAGAACCTTGAGGTTCAAAGCAGTCTTTTGACAATTTAATCAAATGTTAGTTTAGGAAAATTCGGATATTTTACTTAATGGTAGGAACTTTCAAAAATCTAAGTTGTCAATTTGCGATACATTTATTTATGTCACCCTAGGTAGAGTGCTATGGTGTCACAGCTCACAGCAACCTCCAACTCTTGAGGTTAAGTGATTCTCTTACCTCAGCCTCCCAAGTAGCTGGGACTACAGGCACCCACCACAACACCCGGCTATTTTTTGTTGCAGTTGTCATTGTTGTTTAGCTGGCCCAGGATGGGTTCAAATCTGCCAGCCTCAGTGTATGTGGCTGGTGCTGTAACCACTGTGCTGAGAGCACTGAGCCAAATTTGAGGTACATTTATAAGCATTTGAAAACTTGTAAAGCTACTAAAAATGACTTGAATAACCAACTGGCTTAGTTTACTTGCTTTTTGTAAGGTTTCTATCGATCATAATTAGTAGATTATAATCGACATTTGCCTCTTTACAACTTATATACATGACTTCATGTCATGTATACATGACATCCAGGTGGCATCACATTCATGTATACATGTATACATGACATCCAGGTGGCATCACATAGGAGAAGACAGTGATTTTGTTTTACACGTGAGAAAATCAACATGACTACTGTATAATTAAATCAGTAACACTGCAAACACCACTGCTAACCTATATCACTTAAGATGTTCTGTATCCTTAAGCATAAAATGTTACTTTTTAAAAATAGAGTATTTAATTTGATATGAGTTGAAATAAGAATTTCTCCAAATGCCTTTTCATATTAGAATTTTAAGTGTGAAATAATATTTACCACATTTGTTAAAACAAAAGATCATTGTACAGCTTGAATCAGGTTAATTTTTGTTGAGAAAAAAATAAGACTACTAATGCATGGTACAAAATGTTTAATATACATGCAACAAGTATAGTACATCAATGCAACAAAATACACAGGGAAATACTGGGATATAATTCAGCATTCTTTTTGAGGGGGTGAAACTGTATACTACCACCTAAAATTAAAGATTGAGACATACATTGTTTCCTCATGCAAACAGTAACAAACTATCTTTAGTGTGAAATGAGCCATGTAGAAACCCCACTTCATAACAGCAGATGAATTTTATATACCAAGAGCTCCAATAAAGGAGGAAAAGTCATGATCCTCAGATGTCATGTTTAAATCTGCCCTAAGCAGCATGTTAAGATGCACAAATTACTGCATACAGTAGACAAATCTGAAAATTTTTATCAACAGTGGAATCTTCCATTTCCTTCTACATTATAAAAATGTATAGGGAAAAATTAAGTTTTTAATTATTACAGGATAATAAATGTCAGTTGAGAGTGGACCATGAATAATAAAGCATTTAAAAAATCTGATAGTTCTTAGGAAAACAGAAATAGTGCTTAAAACCAGCCTAAAATTTTCAGAGTTGTTCTTCTCATCCATTTCTTCATTCCTTCCTTCTAAAATTTCCTTTGTCCACATTTTATACCTTCCTTCTATCCCCTAGAAAGATGGAAAACTGCTTTGGATACCTCACTCACAATAAAGTACACAGAATTGAGAATAAAGGTACCATTTCTCAAGAGTGTTTGCATTTCTACAAGTATTGAAGTCTTAAGCTAATGGAATAAAGCTCTAAGTGTGTTCTAGCACATCTAAGATAACTTATTTTAAGGACTCTGAGGCCTCCTTTGTCCCTGAAGTGACATTGTACTGTCATAATTATATGTGAGACTGGCCTTGTGACTATTAAGTTCCAAATTCTGATCCTAAGCTCTAAATGTTGCAGAGAACCACTCGCCTACACTTCTAATACAAAGAATGAATGTGGTGAGTGTAGCTAATCTTCCCCTTCTCAATAAAACAACAAAATAGTTTTAAGAGGTACATTCTTCCAATGATGTCAAAGCTACTAAGCCCAAATGTAATGTTTCATTGAACAAAAATACCATATGAAATCTCCAATAAGTACTGTGGTCTCTTTGTGTAAACAATATAGAAAACTTCTTTGGCACAACTAATCATGTTTTCTTCATATTACTTACTATAGAAAATATACTCCACACATGTTCAATATGGTAGAATTTTTAGGGACAAAAGCTGTTTCAAAAATTGCAAAAAGATTTAAAATACAGATTATAGCTTAAAAAATTAGTATACTTATAGAAGTGTAGGGATTTTTAACATCAGTTTTAAAATGAGATTGACATGTTTAATGATATAGAATATAAAACATGACACAAATTCATTATTGTACAAAAAGGAAAAAACCCAGCACTATATGTGAGACACTTACTGTAAGCATGGTGATTACCCTACTGATCCTTATGTATAAGCTTCTCAAATTCTTTTTTTTTTTTTTTTTTTTTGAGACAGAGCCTCAAGCTGTCCCCCTGGGCAGAGTACCGTGGCATTACAGCTCACAGCAACCTCCAACTCCTGGGCTCAAGCGAGTCTCCTGCCTCTGCCTCCCAAGTAGCTGGGACCACAGGCGCCCGCCACAACGCCCGGCTATTTTTTGGTTGCAGCCATCATTGTTGTTTGGCGGGCCCGGGCTGGGGATTCGAACCCGCCACCTTAGGTGTACGTGGCTGGCGCCTTAGCCTGTTGAGCTATAGGCGCCGAGCCAGCTTCTCAAATTCTTAATTGAACTTTCTTGATAAAACAATTTTTCCAAACCTGTTCTACATTTTGAAATGTTTCCAACTTCTGGGGTATACTTGATCATATCTTTAAATCAATAACCTTTTAAGAAAATCCTGGGAAAACAAGAAGCTTAATTGTTTTACTTAAGTGGCCTAAAATCCAGGTAGTCCCTGGGTTACAGATGACCCAACTTTCAGCATTCCAAACTTATGAATGAGCTCACACGGCTCCCCTGAAGGATAATTTATAATTCAGTTAATAATTCAGGAACTAGTTTCTTCCAGTATGTAAAACCCACACGGCATAAGCAGTTTGTTGGTATAGCCATCTTTATGCCTTGCTAGTGGCTAGTCTCATAAATGGAGAAGCAGCGGACAGAGACCTAAGAACATGAAGAATCAGAAGATCCAGAGCCAAGAAAGTATAGGACAAAAGAATTAGCCTTTGGTCTCACTGAAGCAGGATTTGCTAAGCTTGAGGAGCAAGATCCTCGCATTGAGCAGTTCAGAGAGGTTTAGCATGCAGTGAGTGGAAACATCAGCTGCTACAAGGCCATTTATGATGAACAAAGAAAAAGCCAAGAAACCAACTTCAATGATAAGCTTCCCTCTTCCAGCAACAGAATCAGACCCTGATTCTCTAGCACCCACTCCATCCTGTCCAGCACCATCTCCATGATCTTCCAATTAATGTTGGCCTCCCTTCTTGCCTCAAATATTCCCCTTCCAGTAAGCAAGACAGTGGTAAAACATTAGGTGAGTGTTAACCTTTAATATTATTTTCTCCTTTCACCTATCTAAACTTTTTGTGTGAGTTTGTTTTTATGTTCTGTATGTCTGAATTAAAAAGGGCATAATAGTTTCTGTAATTTATTATGATATTATACTATATTATTACCACACATGAGCCATTATTATTATTACTATTGCATATGTGCTGTTCATCAGGGATCCAACAAGTTACATACAAATCCTAACTAAAGACACGTTCTTGGGAATGTATCTCACTGTAACCCAGGAACTGCCGGTCCTGTAAAATACTTTACTTATGGCCTAACAGATTAAGTCAGTAACCGCCTAAATAGGCATATTCCTACGAAGTTTATAAAATATTAAGTGGAATGTTGGTACCAAATGATAACTGTTAAAGAAAAACTGAAAAAACTGTTGTGAAAATGTAGCTAAGAACCTTCCCTGGATATTAAAAACAGGCATTTAAACATTACAACTTAGGAGAAATTAATGAAAAAGTGAAATAAGTCATCTTTTTTTTTTTTTAAATCTAATCACTGAATAAAAGAGTGAAAAAATACTTAGCTTAAGTCTCTGGAATAAAACCTTGAACTCAGCCTCTGGCCACTAAGATACATTTGAACAAATATATAATATAAAAATCAGCTGAATAATAAATATGTACAATTTGCAATGAATTGTTAATTTGGAGGATCTTTGAAAGTTTTTTTAAGCTTGTTCATTTTTAAACCAACTCAGTGACAAATATAAGAATTTTTAAAATGAAAAACAGCAAGATGGTTGTGTTATTCATCTATAAGTTTACATGGAGTGGAATGAACTAAGCAAAGAATTCCAGACACACATCAGAACAATATAAAATTTCAAAGATCTTCCCAGCAGTTAAACTTATGTAAATTGAACATTTACAACATAAAAACTTTTGGCTTTTACATAAAATTTTTCAGGATGGAGTCAGGCCTGGACTTGTCATATCTGTTATAGGACTTGCAAGGTAATCATTAGATTTTAGGCTTGTTAGAGACTTGTAACTTGCCACTGATGTTAGAGACCCACAGAGACCAAGTAATGAGGGAGTATCTTCTTTACCTGAAAATTAGGATAAAATAACAAAAAATTAACAGTCCTTCAAGAATGATGCCATAAAATCCCCAAACTTCCATACTTTATAAGATAATGTAAACATATTTAGTGTGAAGTCAAAGATCTCTATGTTAACATGTTTGATCTTTCACCAGTTTCAGTATCACCCATAAAAACATTACACAAGATTATTTGTGCTTCTCATAAAAACTGTGGATATGGAAGTCTGAGATAACCAAGTTTTAGAGCAATAATAAATGTTCATGGAATAGTATTCAACCATAAAAAGTCACCCTTTGCAGCAACATGGATGGAATTAGAAACCTTTACCTTAAGTGAAACAAGTCAGACACAGGACAACCATCACGTTCTCACCTGTAAGTGGGAGCTAAGTAACAGGTACACGTTAATGTAGAATGTGGAATGACGGTGGAGTCTTGGGTTAGGGGGTGGAGGAAAGGATGGTAAGAAATTATGTAATGGTATTATGTATGTTACTTTGTGATGTTAGAGACCCACAGCTCTGACGTCACCACTATGCAGTCTATGCAGGTAAAAAATTACACTGGCACCCTACAAATTTATACAAATAAAATTTTGTTTTATCTTTTTTTGAATAACATGTTCATGTTAAGTTAGTAGAGAATAATAAAAATCTAAACTAAGTCACAGTAACACTGCCCAGACCACTTAATATAGTAGAAGAAGGTTGATACTGGCCAGATTAGACTGCCCCAACTCCACAGGAAGCTTTGATTTGGGAAGACTTTAATTCACTTACTGAACATTTATTTAGTATCTACTCTGTATCAAGAACTTTGCTAAATGCAGAGTATTCCACAGCCAAGTTAAAACAAGTTCTTTCCAGAATTAAGTTTATGCCCACAATATACAAATATCAGCTTTAAGTATGGTTGGGTGGTGAAAGGCTGTCTTTGAAAATCAGATGGTTTCCAAAGAAAATGGAGGAATACTCAGTTTGTACTCAAAGTATAGAAGGGTGAGGTGAGCCCCATATCAGATGTTTTTGAATATTATATATTGTTTCAACAAGGTCTTCTGAAGTGTTCCCATAGTCCTGTGTACTTACCCACTTTGTCATACTGTATAGTAACTCTGGAGATACTTTACTGGACTATAAACTCTTAGAGAATGAATGTGGACTTTGTGGTGTTCATTATCATATTCCCAGTGCATAGTGCATAGTAGATGCTCATTAAATAACCATATAATTAATGAATGATGATTCAATCGAACTTGCACTGGGACTCAAGATAGCACTTGTGTCCTTTTTAGCTGTGACCTTACATAAAGCATCTTCTCTGAGCCTGTTCTTTACCTTGAAATGGGAAGAGATACCAGCTGATGCCATCCAATTTCATAGTTTGACTTACCAGTTAAATATAGAAAAATATAACTGTTCAGAAAAGATATGGAAAAGTACATGTTACTTTCAGACTTAAAGTGTTTATCATATTATGTTAGAATCAAAAGGTATATATACTTTAAAATACCCTTCTAATGTTTAACCTTAGAGATTCATTTTAGGCCAAACCTAGCTCTCTAAAGTTCTTGCTAAAGTATTTGTAAGTATACCCATTTTATAGATGGGGATAAATATGTGCTCAAAGGGCTGTAAATGAAGTAAGAAAAAAAACCCCTAAAATCAAGTCTAAATTCAGAGACTGCATTCTTGGTCATACTCTTGTAAAGAAGGGAGTCCCTGAAGCCTTTTATACAGGGAATTACATATTTAGTTTGTATTTAAAATCAAGTACTTTAGGGCTCTAGGAGGCATGGTTTTGAAATACATAAATAAATAGTAAAATGGATATAGGGAAATAAGTCAGGGGCTATTGCATTTGCCTGAACAAGTTTGGAAGGGACAAAGATAAAGAACAGAGTAGAAGTCTTTAGAGTCAGACTGCCCAGTGACGTATGGGACTGTTGGGTCTTTTTTCATTGATTACTTTGAGTTCTTTGTAGATACTAGTTATCAAGCTTTTGTCCTATTCATAATATGCAAACATCTTTTCCCATTCTGAAGGTTGTCTGTTTGCTTTGGTGGTTGTCTCCTTGCTATACAGAAGCTTTACAGTTTAATCAAAAGAGCCAGCAATCCCACATATCATTGGGCAAGAGACATGAATAGAACTTTCTCTAAAGAAGACAAATGGCTAATATGAAAAAATGCTCATCATCCCTAATTATCAGAGAAATGCGAATCAACCCACCCCACCCCTCCAAGATATCACCTAACCCCAGTGAGAATGGCCCATATCACAAAGTCTCAAAGATGCAGAAGCTGGTGTGGATATGGAAAGAAGGGAATACTTTTATACTGCTGCTGGGACTGCAAACTAATACAACCTTTTTTGAAGGAATTATGGATAATCCTCAAACTAGAACTCCCATTTGTTCCTGCAAGCCCATTACTAGGCATCTTCCCAGAAGAAAAAAAAAATCCTTTTATCCTAAAGATCTTTGCACTAGGCTGTTTACTGCAGCTTAATTTACAATCACCAAAATGTGGAAACAGCCTAAATGCCCACCAACCCAAGAATGGATTAACAAGCTGTGGTACATATATATATATACGTGTGTATGTATGTATGTATATATACATATACACCATGGAATACTATTCAGCCACAAAAAGATGGAGATTTTATATCTTTTATATTAAACTGGATGGAGGTGGAACACATTCTTAGTAAAGCATCACAAGAATGGAGAAGCAAGAATCTACCGAACTCAGTTCTAATATGAAGGGAGTAGATGATCTAATACGAGATGAGGGGTAGAGGAATGAGGAAGCAGGGAGAGGGGAGAAAGAAGGGGGATAGGGGCCACAGTGTATGGCACACCTCTTGGGGGCAGAATACAATTATAAGAGGGACTTTCCCTAACAAATGCAGTCAGTGTAACCTAATTCTTTGTACCCTCAGTGAATCTCAAATAAAAAAAGAAAAGAAAAGTCAAACTGGTAAGACCTGGTAATAGTAAAATGTTAGATGGGGGGAGCCATGAATGGCTCAGTAATTTTTAGAACTGATAGGTGGATGGTGAGGTAACCTACTCCAAGGAGAAGTTCAGAATGGGAAGGAAGAAATCAATGGCAACAAAGAGGTAGTGAGTGCGTGCCCTAATTTAAAGAGATTCCTTAGCCCCTATCATAAACCCATCAATATAGAAGATAATTTACATAAAACTGTTATGTAAGGACCATGTCACCTTTTTGTTTGAGAAAACGAGTGGCCATTTTATCCAATAAAATTTCAAACTGTTAGAACCAATGGATATTATAGTTGTGTCTGGTTGGGAGAGAGTTTTTTTGCATGTACATGTGTGAACTTGGTCACAAGTATTCATTTGGCTATCACTTTAACCGAGTTACCTGTGTACCAAGTATATGTGCTGCCTAAAATACCTTCAAAAACATAATTTGGCTTTAAAATGAAAGTTTTTTTAATAGAAAATTATGAAAAATAGTTGGACATAAATTTATTACTGAAGCAAGTATCTGTCATTAGAATTACTGCAATTCAGATTTTTTTGTAACAGTGCTTGCATGAAAAAAGAAATCTTAAAAAAAGAGACTACCCTGCAAGTACCATATTTTGCTGGGCATAACATATGCTTATTTGTCCAAATATTTGAGGGGAAAATAAGGGTGCATGTTATATGTGGGTGGAACCACTCAGGAGCTAGGGAGCCCAGTGGGCCTCCTGGGAACCACATGCCCTCCCGTGCCCTGGGCCCACTGGACACACAGGGATCCAGTCTGGGAAGATCTGAGATCTGGTGGAAGAGGGCCAGAGTGGCCTCTACTAAGTATTGCAATTAGGTGGGGACAGTGGGGGTACTGGGGAGGCTGCCGCTGTGCGTGGCAAGGCCTGATGTCCAACCAGGCAGAGCGGACTGGAATCCAATACAGGCCCCAGGAACCCACCTGGCTGCCCATGGGCTAGTGGCCTCAGAAGCTCCCATCCCATCAGGCATGCATGTAGCCATCTCCACCAAGACCCCAAACTTGACAGGGAGGGAAGGGATCTCAGAAGGAAGGGGCAGCTTTTCCAGAGCAGGAGGCTGCAGGAGGGTGGTGTGATCTCCACATCTACGAAGGTAGCATTAGCCCTTCCCAGATGGGTCTCTCCTAGCCAAGAAAACCAGCTGCTTTCTCTGGGGAATTTTCCTGAAAGTTTGGAGAAAAAACCTGAGTGCACACTATACACGGGATTGCATTTTACACAGCAAAATACAGTAGACAAAACTTTCTAATATATGCAAAAGGATATCTCAATCACATGCCAAGCATGTAACTGAGGTAGGAGAAATTCCCTAGAATAGATGGAAGGAAATTTTGAAGCAACAAGCAATTGGTGTGACTGACTCATGCATCATCAATTTGTCATCCTATCAGCTCTGAAGAGAAGCTGTAAACCTTCCAGAAGAATTTGATTTTATTGAGGAAAAAAATGAAACTGTAAGTTAGGCAAATGGGAAGTGGCTGCATAAAAACATGCAAATGCTTGTTGGTAGCTTAAAGGAAAACTCCCAAAACAGTGGAGTACTATTTGAGGAAATGGTTCTCTGTTTGCACAGAGATGATACTGTGAGGAAGGACAGGCTCACAGTCCGAAGACATGGGCTCTAAACATGAAGTTCTAGGAACACCTTGAACAAGTGAATTCACTTTTATTTTCCTTTCATAGATACATACGAATGACATTGAATTTTTAAAATCTGTGCTTAAAGTTGAAAAGCAATGAACAATCTGAACATTAAACAATTCCATTTGTAATAGCATCTAAAATAACATGTTGAGGAGTAATTATAATTAGAGAAGTGTAAGAGTTGTACATTGAAAACCTTAAAATGTTGCTAAAAGTAACTAAAGATGTAAATAAATGGAAAAACATCCCATCTTTCCAAGGACTGGTAGACAGTATTTTTAAGATGGCAATACTCCTCAAATATCTGCAAATTCAATATAATCCCCATTA